GAGGGCACCATCCCCCAGGATGCACGAGAACATCCGACAAGCACGAAGAACACGCCCTCCCCGGACCGACCTCGATCTCATTTCTCGGCCCGACTGTACACGCGTCCGAACAATGCCAGGGCCTGGGATTAAGTCGGGCGTGTCCCCCGTACAGGGGGATTTTTTTTACGAAAAACTAAGAATCCTCAGAAAACAATTCAAACATTGCTTAGAAATAATTACACCTGAGAAAACCCAATCAGTGGATGATTTGAAATTTGATACTATGGATCTTGAGATCGATTGTGAGATCGATAATGAGATCGATAGTGGAATCGATAGTGAGGACGATTGTAAGGTCGATCGTGAGACCGATAGTGAAATCGATACAATAAGATCGATAGTGAGAACGATCGCGAGATCGCTCATGCGATCTCTAGTGAGATCGCTTGTGAGATTGATGGTGAGATCGATTGTGAGATCGATGGTGAGATCGATCGAGAAGTAGGTCATGAGATCGATGGTGAGAACGATCGATAAAGAGATCGACCAAGAGCCCAGGAACCCAGGAACCTCGCCGCCCTCCGAAATCGGCCCGGAACCCAGAACCGGGAACCCGGGAACCCGGGAACCCAGCCTGCCACCAAACTCGGCGGGGAACTGAACTTTCGCCAAATCCTTCAGCATCCGCTATAGGACCCCTTCCGTGCAAGCACTGATTGGGGAAAATATGAAGGGGCCCAGGGACACACAAATGAATACACACACAAATAAAAAGATGCCCCTATCTTTTCCCATACTTTCTGGGCTTCTGTCCTCCCGCCCAATGCCCCTATTTTCCCATCTTTGCCTGGGAGGCGACGACGAATTGTGTCTGTGTGTTTTTCCTCCTCCTGAAAATACTCCCCAGACTGTTGCTTCAAACTATTTTTGAATTGGCCCTGGGACACACAAATAAATACACAGAAATAAAAAGACTCCCAATATTTCCTATATTTTCTGGGTTTTTGTTTTCCCCCCACTTCCCATATTTTCCCATATTTTCTGGGAAATCGACGATGAAATCGACGATGACTGAAAATAGCCCCCAGACTGTTGCTTCAAGCTATGTTGAATACTCCTCCTGTCGAGGGACACGCCCGACCTAAGGCTCGGGACGAGCAGCCCCGCCGCCCGCCCGCCGCCCGCCCGCCCACCGGGCGGGGGGCGTGCATGGGGCGCGCGCGAGGCCCCTCCGCCGCTTCGGCTGCCGCGCGCCACTCTCCGCCGCTTCGGCTGCACTTTCTCGGGGGGCCGAGGGTCGAGGATCGAGGATCGAGGGTCGAGGATCGATCTCTCGGGGGGCCGAGGAGCTAAGATCGAGAATCGAGCGACGATCGACAGCGGGTCTTGCGCGAGATGGCACAGCGGCCTCACGCCGAAACTTCTGCTGGCCACCGGCGCGGCACGCTACACGGGAGGCGAGGGCGCTCAAGCGCAGCCTCAACGCGGGCAGCTTGCGCGCCCCGGTCGGCGAATGCGACCCCGCGTTTTTTTTGCGTCGCTCACTCGAGGGTCGAGGACCTATAGACGTCCGCTTCTCGGAGGTCTGCTCCATCCACGGCCCCCCGATGTCTCGACCGCTTCCCTGTGGGTATATAGTTTTGCGTCCATGGCCCATCTTTTCTGGCCCCCAGGGGCCCGAACGCACGCGCCCCAGATGCCGAACTCTAAGAACCACTGCTGGATTGAAAAACTACAGACAAGAAAAACCCAAATCAGTGGATGTTTTGATCGACAATGAGATCGACCGGGAACCCGGGAACCCGGAACCCACCGACATCGGCCCGGAACCAATATAACCAGGTCGGGAGCGGCCAAGAGGGGGGCCCAGCGGGGGGGCCAGGGACGTAATGAAATAAGAAGAGGCGCCGTGAAATCTGGGGAGATATCATGGCCGACGCCATGATATCCACCCCCCTAGTCATCGCCCCCCTCGACCAGGAACCCGGGAGCCCGGAACCAAGGACCTGGGAACCCAGCCGGCCACCAAGATCGGCGGGACGCTCTCGCCACAAATCCTTCGACTTCCGCCATGTAGGAGGAGGAGGATGAGGAGGAGGAGGAGGAGGAGGAGGAGGAGGGAGGAGGAGGAGGAGGAGGAGGAGGAGGAGGAGGACCCCTGTGGAGCAAGCGTGCGGATTGAAAAATCAGCTCGCCCGAGATCTCGGGGCCCTCCATGGGCGAGCCGGCCGAGGGCGGCGGCCCGCCGTACCCCTGTGGTCTGGCAAGGTTTCCACGGGGGAGCCGCGAGTTGCAACGAGCAAACGCACAAGACGCGCTTGAGAGCGCTGCACTCGGCCGATCCTCTTGGCAGCCGCTGAGTATTGGCTGAGCCGGAGGCCAAGCTGAGCCGGAGGCTCAGAGGCCCCTCGAGCAAGTCCGCCGGCCATATGGGCGCGGGCGGCCCAAGGGTCCTACAGGGGGATCTTCGAGGAGAAATGAGAAAGACCCCCAGAATAATCAAAACATAATCCAAAAATAGTCTGGGGACTGGCACTTTTTGCCCTTTGGGGGCATTTTTGGGGCACCTCTTATTCTTCGTCGGGAATCCCCCTGTAGGGGGACACGCCCGACATGACCCACCCTGACTCCAGATCCGCCCTACTTTGCCTTTTTTTTCCAACTTTAAATTGCGTCGGAAATCCACCTATGAGAGGCCGAAAAAATAGGGCGGAAATTTCTGCACCCAGTATAAAATAGGGCGGAAATCCACAGACACAGCAACAGAAAAGTAGGGCGGAAATTGGCATCAGCGGGGCTCGAAAAGTAAGGCGGCAATTCCAAGCCCCACTTACGAATTTCCCCAAAGTAGGGCGGATCTGGAGTCAGGGTGGAGGGCTCAGGGTGAGATCCAGGTGGGCTATTTTGCACCTCGGGAGTAAATCCGCCCATTGTGATGCCCCTTCTGCAGGTTCGAGCCCAGCCCTCCCTCTGGGGCCATGGCCACGAAAGGCGCAGGGCCCCGAGGGAGAAGCCGAGCCGGGCGCCCGAGCCATCCAGGGCGCCCAGCTTCGCGCCTCGCGCGGAGCGCGAGTGCCTTCGCGCTCTCGCGCCGCCTCCCTGGGGAGCAGAGGAGGAGGAGTCGGGGCCGCGAAGTGCGAACACCTTCGCGCTCTCGCGCCGCCTCCCAGGGGAGAAGAGGAGGAGGAGTCGGAGCCGGAGCGCGAAGCGCGACTAACTTCGCGCCCTCGAGGGCGCCCGTGGTCATCCGGGGGTGACGCGGGCCCGGGGCGACTCGGGCTCGAATTCCCGGGAAACGAGCCCGAGTTATATAGCCCTGGCCCGAGCTGGAGCCCTGATGCTTCGGGGCGCTGAGCGCCCGAGTTGCCCGGGGCAATTCGGGCCCGGGGTGACTCGGGCTCGGATTCCCGAACAACGAACCCGAGTTAGCCCTGACCCGAGTTACCCCTGATGATTCGGGGCTCTGACTGAGGGGAGCGTAAGCGGGGGGACTGGCTCAGTGGGGGGGGGGGCATCGCCGATAGAGATCGGCGAGACAGTCCCCCGAGAGCGGCTGTCCGCACGCACCTGGGCTGGGGTATAGGTCCCCCATCGTTAGGTCGGGCGTGTCCTCCTACAGTCGGATTTTGGACGAACAATCAAAAATAGCCAAAGAGAATCGAAGCATACTTAAAAATACTAAAATATCGTCCCCAGACTATTTGTTTCATCTCGTTTTGAATACTCCTCTTGTAGAGGGACACGCCCGACTTTACCCTATCGGCGATAAATGGGCGCGTTGGTGGTCGACGCATCCCCCCCAGAATCTCCAGCGTTGCCCCCGAGAAGTGGGGCCTCGAATCCCACCAGCCCTCTGGGCGTAGGTGGTCTAGAGCGTTTCCTCTTCCACCTCCCTTCTTCCCTGGCTTCTCGTCCTAGCCCCGTCCAGAGGACCCAGGACGGATGCTGTGTGTGTGTGTGCGCGTGCGTGCGTGCGTGCGTGCGTGCGTGCGTGCGTGCGTGCGTGTCTGTGTGTGCGTGTGTGTGACGGGAGGCCCAGGTCGAAGAACCCTGCAGTCAGAGACGTGGCCGATGTGATCATGTGCCCTCAGCCTCTGGAGGGGCAACAAAAACGATGACCATGACCAAGACTAGGCGGCGAGCGAGTGGGGGAAGTGAGGAGGAGAAGGTCTTCTCAGACGGCTCGGAAGTCCTCCAGCCTTCTGAGGAGTTTTCTAACTCTTCCCCGAAGACGCAAACAATTTCTCAGAAAGGCCGAGGGCTTCTGAGAAGTCCCGCCGCCTTCCGAGAAGGCCTTCTCCTTCTCACTTCCTCCCCTTGCTCACCGCAGAAAGACTGAACGCGGAAACGTCGGTGTCGATCTTGGTGATCCTCCATCTTGGTAATCGTCATGACGTGAGTCGTCCTCATCGTCCTCGTGAATCGGCTACGGCCGGCAGGGAATCATGCCCAAGACCGGCGTCGATGAGATCCCGCGACATCTTGGTCATGGTCGTGGTACGTCTTCCCTCGAGTCCTGGTAGTAATGACCACGGTTCCCCTCGGATCATGGCGAGAACGGGAGCGACGATGTCAGCACCGCAGCTCGGCCAGACAGTCTGCGTAAGATGTCGTCCCCAACTTCCCTTCGCTCGGCGCATCGTGCCGCCAGCTGGAACTACGCCTGCTACAAGCTGCGCGCCCTGTACGCACCGTCTCGCATGATTGCATGTTCGTCTGCCCTCCGCCCACCCTCGCGACACATGCAGGAGAGCCCAGAATCGAATCGAAAAGTCGGATCGGTGATCGAAATTAATCGCATCGGTGGAACTCGGCAGCCGAGTCGGGAAAAATCGAATCGGCGTAGATCGGCAGGCTAGTATGCCTCCAATCGGAACCCGACTCGGAATCCCGACTCGGAAATCAAATCGGAATCGGAAACCATCGAGCTCGAATCGAATCGAATCGAATCGAATCGGAAAAGTCGAAATGAGCCCTGCACATGTCTGGCGGCTCCCGGCTGGGGGGGACGGCGACGCCTCGAGGTCCGACGTCCGGAACGCGCCCGCCGCGTTCAGCTCCTTCGCGGTCAGGGGAGGGGGCGCGAGCGCCTCGGGGGGGGGCTCGCGCCGAAAGGTGCTCATCGTCGTTGCGGCCGTCGTCGTCGTCATCGTCGTCCTTCTCCTCCTCCTCCCTCCTTCCTCCTTCCTCCTTCCTCCTTCCTCCTTCCTCCTCCTCGTCCTCGTCCTCGTCCTCGTCCTCGTCCTCGTCCTCGTCCTCGTCCTCGTCCTCCTCCTCCTCCTCCTCCTCCCGAGGAGGAGCCCTGCCAAGTGGAGGGGAGGAATCCCACAAGAGTCCCCGCAGGGCAGAGCCCCGACATCCTCGCATCGCGCCACAACCAAAAATGTGGCGGGACATGCTTTGCTGCTTTCGACTCCGTGGGATCCTGACTGGGCCCCGCGACAGCGAACAACAACGGCACGCGATGCCAAGACGGTCCCATGGAAACATGGAGATGGCCCAGACGTTCTGGGGAGCCGCGGTGCGCACGAGCCACAACTTCGGCTGTCCAGCAGGAGGGGATCGGGGGGAAGGCTGGGGAAGGGACGAAGGGCATCGGGGGTGGTGGAGAAACGCTATTGGTCTCTTCACTGGCCAAGTGGGACCCTTCACCGGCCAGATGGGACCTTTTACTGGCTGATCCGTTCACCGGCTAATTGGGTGTTTCACCGGCTACGTCTTTCAATTGAAAGAAGATTGTAGTGTTCGCGTGTACGCCACCAAGAACGAGTGTGGAGTGCTAAGGGTTGCCACAAGCGTTTCTGCAATTACTTGTTTTTTGTTGTTTTTTGGAGGCCGGTGAAGAGACCAATTCTGGCCGCGTACCACCGTGGCATGCATGGGGGGGGTTATTTAACATAACAAGATGATCAGGAGCAGGGGAAGCTTCAAGGCGGGCGAAGTGTGATCGGCAGGGTGATGACGATGACGATGATACAGTATGATGACGATGACCATGACGACGATGGTGATGATGACGATGCTGGTCACGATGACCATGATGATGCCGATGACGACGACGATGATGATGATCGTTCTGGTGGTGATGACGATGATTACGATAGTGATGATGACAACGACGACGATGATCATGATGCGTATGGCGACGATGGCGATTACGATGATGACGATGACGATGAGGATGATGATGATGATGATGAGGATGATGATGCTAATGATGATGATGACGATGATGATGCCGATGATGATGATGGTGATGACGATGATGATGATGATGATGATGATGATGATGATGATGATGATGCGGATCATGATGATGATGGCGACGAGGATGATTGTGATGATGACGATGATGACGATGATGATGAAGTTGATTATGATGTTGATGCTGATAATGCCGATGATGGTGATGATGATGATGACGATCATGACGACGATGATGATGAGGATGATGACTGTGATGGTGATGGTGATGATGGTGGTGATGATGATGACGATGACGATGATGATGAGGATGAGGATGATGATCATGTTGATGATGATGTTGATGGTGATGGTGATGATGATGCTGATGATGGTGGTGATGGTGGTGGTGATGATGATGATGATGCTGATGCTGATGATGATGATGCTGCTGATGATGATGGTGATGATGATGATGATGGTGGTGATGATGATGATGATGCTGATGCTGATGCTGATGCTGATGCTGATGATGATGATGATGATACTGATAATGATAATGATGATGATGATGATGATGATGATGATGATGATGATGATGATGATGATGGTGATGATGATGATGATGATGATGATGATGATGATGATGATGATGATGATGATGATGATGATGAAACCGAGCCCCCATTGGGGCCCCCACGTTTTCCCAGAGGTTGGGGCGTTTCTCGAGTTTCCATGGGGCTCCAACGTCTTCCCATGGATCGGTTCTCATCTCGAACCTCATTGGGGCTCCCAGGTTTTCCCAGGGATCGGGGCTCACCTCGAGCCTCCCTGGGGCTCTCACGTTTTTTTCAGGCATCAAGGCTCATCTCGAGCCTCCCTGGGGCGCCCACGTTTTCCCAGAGATCGGGGCTCATATCGAGCGTCCGGGAGGACGGATCGAGTCCTACCAAGTCGTCTTCCCTGGGGCTCCTACGTTCTCCTAGGGATCGGGGCTCTGGTCGAGACCCCAGGGGACTCCTAAGTTTTCCCAGGGATCGGGACTCATCTCGAGCCTCCCTGGGGCTCCCACGTTCTCCGAAGCATCGGGGCTCATCTCGAGCCTCCCTGGGGTTCCCACGCTCTCCGAAGCATCGGGGCTCATCTCGAGCCTCCCTGGGGCGCCCGCGTTTTCCAATGTCCTTCCTCCTCCTCCTCCTCCTCCTCCTCCTCCTCCTCCTCCTCTTCCTCTTCCCATTAGTTCCGATATTTATGTTCCTCCACTGCATCCTTGTCCTCTCGCTCTTCTCTGCGGGAGTTTCCTGGGGCTCCCACGGAATCCTGCAGTGAACAAGCGTGTGCGCACAAACGAGGCGAGAGGCCAGTAAAGACAGGTTTCTCGTTGGCCGCCTGCAGGGTGTCTTCAGGCCGTCATGGGCTCTGGATGGGGCCCTCTGTACGCGGGCCTTGCAAAATAGGGACAACCATGCCCCTGGCTCCACTCTCATCCCCTCCACCTCTCCCCACATCCACCCCACCTCCTTATCGTCCTATTCCGACCCCTCCGTAGCCAGTGTGCCTCAGGGGGAGTTTTCTGCAGCAGTGCTTCACACACCTTGAGCGCAGAACTCATTTCAGAGAGTGCGCAACTCAATCTGCATTGAAGTCCTTGTCATGGGCTTCACCGTGGACGGATGGAGTCTCACATTGCTTGCCCTTCTGTGTGCTTGACCCACATGGTACGTGGAAGAGAGCGTGCTCACCCACAATCTAAGTGAGAAGTGGTACGCGGACGAGTGGTGTGTGATGGAGATTGCAGCTCACGAGGAATATTTGCAAGCCATTGCGGGGCACGACATGCATCATGATAGCAGCGTGTTCATGCTAGCTTCCTTGGGTTATGAATCAAACAATTTGTATGACAACCTGATCGCGTACTCCTCTTGGGGCATTCACGGCCACGACGTCATGCATGGAATTCCCGTGGTTCCGTTGTCTTGGGGCCCCTCGCTCACGGAATACCTCGCCAAGAGCGTTGGCGAAACCATCACAGAGCCCGCCCGTCAGCCAGCGCAGATCCACATGACGGCGACGCTTCACGGAGGAGCTCCAAAACAGATTACTGCCAGGAAGCGCCCTGCTGCAGCAATGGGTGTGCAAGGGGCCGCGCATATAGGGTCGGCAGAGAACCCTCCTGCAGCGCGCGTGGCAGAGCCTCGTTCGAAACGCCCGCGCATGGCTTGTTCGCTAGACGCCTACCCCATTGCTGTTAAGATCTATAACAACAAGGAAGAAACACATGAGGGGCTCGGCATCAAGCAGCGCGTCCGCAGCCTCAAAGCGTGCGTACACTCCTCGAAACCAGCCTTCTGAACCCTCTTCTGTAAGCTATGGCAAGAAGGATGCAAATGGGAAGGTGCCCTGTCTTTCTTGCGCTCCGGCCAGGTGGAGTTGCGTGCAAAGAGCGACGAAACCAAGGACCACAACCACCAGCTGCAAGTGCCTTGCGGGCAAGCAGGGATGCCAGAGTTTGGAGGTGAAGCGCGCGTTGACCAAGGCTCTAACAGACAAGGCTGCTACGACCCCGCGCCAGGCCGAGAGGGCTCTGAAGCTTGGAAAGGACAGCCCTGCTGGCGCCGACAAGCTGAAGCTCAAGACCATCCAATTTGCGAAGCGCAATTTCCAGCGGCGGCGGAAGGCCGCGAGACAGGACCTAGGTAACATCACCACCGAAGTCAACAAGCACACCGCTATCCCCAGGAAGATGCACAAGGGCTTCTTCGCTGTCGTTGAATGCGTCCGTCTGGCTCCGCGGAAGGGGGCGCCGACATCGAAGGTGACTTTGGTAGCCACGACGAAGCATCTGATGAATCGGTTCCTCCAGTCGTCGGTGGCCCAGCTGGACGGCGGGTTTAAGAACAACCTCTTGGGTTGGCCATGCACCTTCTTGGGGTGCACCAGCCCCGCCATGACATTCTGCCCAACCGCCATCGCACTCACGTCGACCTTGAAATCAGAGCACATGGAAGAGGCGTTGGTCGGGTACGCCCATGCGACCAACAGAGTGACTCGCGAATTCCCTGCCAAATCCTTTGCCATGTCGGACGGCGCGGAGGAGTACAGGAAGCCAGCCAGGATAGCGTTCTCGGACAAACGCACGCAGTGCCAGAGCTTGATGTGTTGGTTTCACATGAAGGATGCGGTGCTAGACTTCGTGAAGAGGCACGCGCTGTGCGCGGAGACGGAGTTGCTTGCGCAGGAGATCGGCAACGACTTGGACATGATGCACCATTCCGCGACCGTGGTGGAGTTCGAGGCCAAATGCGCAGCAGTGCGACACCTTTGGGTGGAGTCAGGCTGCGCTGCCGCCACAGAGTTCACGGACAAGGGAGGGAAAAAGCACAATCTCGACACGTACTTCCACAAGCAATGGAAGTCACTTCGTCCCGAATGGCATTGCGGCATGATGGACCGCGCCCCAGTTCCTCTGCCGACCACGAACAACCAGGTCGAAATCGAGATTCGTTGGTCAAGGAAGGACGCGGGGAACGTTCCTGGTTCCGCGACTGAGTGCATCAACTTCCTCCTGGATCAGGCGGAATTCTACTCGAAGCGCGACTGGCGCCCAGAGGAGACGCGGCCAGTGCCGAAGCATCTATGGGCGAAAGCCCGCGGGATCAGAGCGTTATTTGGCACCGACAAGATTCGCAAGGTGGCCAGGGGAGTGTACTGCTGCGCTGCGGGCGCAACGGACATGACGGACAAGGACGACCAGGCCGAGCGGGCAGCCATCACCCAGGACTTCGGGCGGCGAACATTCGCGCTGACTGGCATTTTCCCGTCGACCCTAACTGCCCACCTCAACCTTCTGCTCCTCCTCCTCCTCCTCCTCCTTCCCCTCCTCCTCCTCCTTGTCGCACCCCCCCTCTCCTGACCATAGCCCTCGGCTCGGCCGGCCCGCCCGCCGGCTCAGTTCGGCCAAAAGGGGGGTGGGGAGGAGGAGGAGGAGGAGGAGGAGGAGGAGGAGGAGGAGGAGGAGGAGGACGAGGAAGGGCCGAGGGCGAGGGCGAGGGGGGGGGAGAAGGATCTGGATCATGAGGACGGCTCTTACGTTTTCCAAGGAACCGCGGCTCTAATGAAGCCCCCATCGGGGCTTTCACGTTTCTCCAGGGATCGATGCTCCCATCTGGCTTCCGTGGGATGCCTCAGTTTTCCCAGGCATCGGGGCTCAGACCGTGCCTCCCTGGGGCTTCCACAGTCTCACAGGGAGTGAGGCTCATATCGAGCCTCCCTGTGCCCCCCGCGGTTTCCAAGGCATCGAGGCTCATAACGAGCTTCCACCTGGCTCCCACGTTTGTCCAGGGATCGACGTTCCCATCGAGCCTCCATGGAGCCCCCGCCTTTTCCCAAGCATCGGGATGTTTTTTTCCAGGCAGTGGGGCTCCCACCTTTTTCCCTGGGGATCCCACGTTCTCCAAGGGATCGAGGCTCATATCGAGCTCCCCTGGGGCTCCTACGTTTTCCCAGGGGTAGGAGCTCTTCTCGAGCCCCTCATGGGACTCCAACGTCTTCCCAGGGATCAGGGCTCATCTCCAGCCTCTCTGGGGCTCTAGTGGTTTTTCAAGGGATCGGGCTCATATCGAGCGTCCCGGGTGATTCCACGTTTTCCTAGGGATCGAGACTCATATCGAGTTCCCTTGGCCTTCACATGTTTTCCCAGAGATCGGGGCTCACATCGAGTCCCGTGGGACTCTTACGTCTTCCCAGGGATCGGGGCTCCTCTCGGGCACCCCTGAGGATCCACCGTTCTGACAAGGATTGGGTCTCATCTCGAACTTCTTTGGGGCTCCCACGTTTTCCTAAGCATCGGGGTTCATATCTACCCTCCTCTGGCCCCCGACGTTTCCCAAAGGATCGGGGCTCATATCGAGCCCGCCTAGGGTTGAGACGTTTTCCCAGGGATCGGGGTTCATCTCGAGTCTCTGGGGCTCCCACGTTTTCCAAGGCATCGGGGCTCCTTTCGAACCTCTCTTTGGCCCCCGCGTGTTTCCAGGGATCGGGGCACAGATTGAGACCCCTCTGGGGTTCACACGTTCTCTCAGAGATCGACGTTCTTACCGAGCCTCCATAGGGCTCTTACGTTTTCCCAGGGATCGGGGCTCCTCTCGACCCCCCTCTGGGGTTCCCATGTTTTTCCAGGGGTTGGGGTCCTCTCGAACCCCCCATGGGATGGGGCCACTACGTCTTCCCAGGGATCGAGGCTCATCTCAAGCCTCCCCTTTGGGATCCAACGTTTTCCAAGGGATCGAGACTCATATCGAGCTCCCCTGGGGCTCCTACGTTACCCCACGGGTCGGAGCTCCTTCTACTCCTATTCGTTTTCCTCTTATCCTCGCCCTTGTCCTCCTCCCTGCTGCTTCTCCTGCCGCACCTCCTGGTCGTCCTCGTCCTCCTCCACTTCGTCCTGATGCTCCTCCTCCTCCTCCTCCTCCTCCTCCTCCTCCTCCTCGTCCTCGTCCTCGTCCTCGTGCTGCGCTGCGGGCGCAACGGACATGACGGACAAGGACGACCAGGCCGAGCGGGCAGCCATCACCCAGGACTTCGGGCGGCGAACATTCGCGCTGACTGGCATTTTCCCGTCGACCCTAACTGCCCACCTCAACCTTCTGCTCCTCCTCCTCCTCCTCCTCCTTCCCCTCCTCCTCCTCCTTGTCGCACCCCCCCTCTCCTGACCATAGCCCTCGGCTCGGCCGGCCCGCCCGCCGGCTCAGTTCGGCCAAAAGGGGGGTGGGGAGGAGGAGGAGGAGGAGGAGGAGGAGGAGGAGGAGGAGGAGGAGGAGGACGAGGAAGGGCCGAGGGCGAGGGCGAGGGGGGGGGAGAAGGATCTGGATCATGAGGACGGCTCTTACGTTTTCCAAGGAACCGCGGCTCTAATGAAGCCCCCATCGGGGCTTTCACGTTTCTCCAGGGATCGATGCTCCCATCTGGCTTCCGTGGGATGCCTCAGTTTTCCCAGGCATCGGGGCTCAGACCGTGCCTCCCTGGGGCTTCCACAGTCTCACAGGGAGTGAGGCTCATATCGAGCCTCCCTGTGCCCCCCGCGGTTTCCAAGGCATCGAGGCTCATAACGAGCTTCCACCTGGCTCCCACGTTTGTCCAGGGATC